GGGCCATGAAACTGAACATCAGATTTAAACCTCATTAAGAAAAAGAACAGTAAGACATAGAAAAATGCATACATATTTTCAGTGCCTTACTTAGCATAGTTGATACCTGGAGTAGATCCTCCTCTATATAACAAAATTACTTTTTAGTAATAACTATTATTTTCCTGAATTGTCCTTTAACGTTAAAGAAATTGACAATTTTCAGGAGAAAAAATTTCAAAGCTATTGTTCAAATTCAATTAAATATTTCATGTATGAAATTTGCACTTATCTAACAAAAATATCACCCCTGCACTTCACACTGTTTCATTGTTATATTTTTAAAATGCAAATAAAAATTCCAAGTGATCACATAAAATAACAGAATTAAAGTAACTCTATTTCTCCTTCTTTGTCTTTACAATCACTGTGCCATCATTGTTTATTCCGAATCTGCTGTTGAAATGCATAAAGAATATAATATTTATTAAAGGATAATCATAAAAATATACTAATTTGAATCATACATAAGTATATATTATTAAAACTCAACAATAAGCACAGCAATTATTTAGGACTTAGAGAAACAAGTTAATTTGTGTAAAACATATTATCATTGACTTTGAGAATTGCTGGTAAATGGTGATAGTAAAAAGCAGACCAACTTTTAGTTGGCTTTACTATTTTTTATAAATTTCTAGAAACAATACACCTTCTTAATGACTGCACCCAGGGCAGAATACTCTCATCATTTCACCTTTTGAATAAATAGTTTTCAACCCAAAACTAAATAAAGCCATAAAATCACCACTGTTTTTACACAATGTATGTTTATTCTTTACAAGACCAGCTTCAGCAGCCTGCCGCTGGGCACAGGGTCCCATGCTCAGGAGCCCCATGCTTGGCTTTTAATGCTCTGCTACCGCCTTGAAATTCTCAACAATTTTATTTTTGAATTCGGGTATATAAGTGAAGTCTGATGAGACAATAAAGCATATGCCCTATACTCACATGCAGTCCTGCCTCCCAGTGCCTTCCAGGGACAGGTCCTCAGCCACCTGCTCCCCCACCCTGTGACAGCTGCCATCTTCCAACCCTGTTGGGGGCCTTGGCACAAGACAGGATCAGGTGGGTTTCATGGGGCAAGGCCACAGACACCCACGAGGGTCTACATGCTCCCACAAGTAACCCTAGGCCCTAGAGAACCTAACATTAAATAGAAAATAAAAATAACCTTTCCTGGGTCAATTAAGACTGTGAAAACAGGAAAAAGCTTCTTTTTTCCTCTGCTTTTGATTTAGACAGCATTTCTAATATTCCTGAGAGATCGCTAAGACTGAAAAAAAACTATGA